GAAAGATTCTTTTCCAGAAAGGGATTGTACAAATTTAGAATCAAAGTTCATCCTGCTTTTGATGATCTCACCACAGATGGGAGTACAACTGAATCAAGGTTTCCAGGGTAAGTAGTCCACAAACCTAATCCTCCCTTAGTCTCTATCAAACTCGTCGACGGGTTACGCTTCTTCCATTGTTTATACTCTTTCATGCTGCTCATCTTCCCCTTAAGTTGATCCCAATCTTTAACCCACTCTATCAGAGAAGAGTGCTCTCTTGTATGTGGGTGCAAAATAAAAAGCGAGTAATACTCGCAATTCGGAAACATGAAATACTTGAAAGAATTGCCTAGCCTGTATACCACGTACCCGAAACTCAGTTGGTCTCTTGGTGTGAACATGTGAACTTCGTTGAACCATAGGCAGCTAAACAAATTACTCATTGCTGTATGTTCCCTTATAATAATGGCTCCCTCTGGAACATCTGCATTTTTGTAAATTTGGATCAGGACAACATTTTTGTGGACACACAGTAATAGTCCAAGGCCCCGCTAGCAGATATTGTCCACTTTGACTCGTTACGTATCGCCATTAGCCTCACGGTTTTAAAACGCTTCGCTATAGAAAGGTTTCCATACCCTTATAAGAAATGATTCGTTCTCCTCTCTAACTGATGTGGGATCTCACAATCCAACCCCCTTGGGGCCCAGCGTCCTTGCTGACACACCGCCCAGTGACTAGCGCTCTAATACCATTTGTAACAGTCGAAGTCCACCACTAGCAAATATTGCCCGCCTTGGCCCCCTAACATACGCGTTTTAAAACCATGAGGCTGACGACGATACGTAACAGGCTAAGGCGGACAGTTATTTGCTAGCGGTGGATTTGAGCTACTACACACACAAAGGTAGGGTAGAAAGCATGAACACAAGAGCACACAAAAAAAGGCTCACCGATAAAAATACCCACAACTAATCACAAAAGCATGAGAATGATGCCAAGTTGATAATTACAAGAAACCTGATTCACGGACACCCACAAGTACGAGTTATACTAAATTACCTAGGCTTCTCACCAGACCTCTAACCACTCTAAAGATTCTACTGTTCTTCTCAAGCCAAATTCCCCTAGGATAGCGAAAAAACGAGCCTGCCACAGGACTCTTCCTCTCCAGCAAAACGGAGGATTCACGAGAACTTCCTCAACATAGAGAAACAACCACAATTCATAATGATCTTAGAGCCAACTATGTTGCACAATCATAACCCTTTAAAAACTTTTGTTACAAAGAGTTTCAGACATTTTATATATGTCAAGAATGGCGATTGAGTGAGTTATGTCGAATTTCTAATTTCACATATTACAGACAAAATAGTCCTAAGAGAATCAAATGACTTCAAAGCAAAAATAGTAATAATAATAGTAATAATAATAATAATAATAATGAAATCTGTTAAGGATGGCCATGACTTACCACTGACAGTTTTCTTCTCTGGACTCCATGGTTCCATTCCTTCATAACGGTATATTTTCATGTGAAGGTCAATAAGAGGACGAGCATATCGCTTCCTTCGCTTATTGGAATCAGCCTCTTCATAGATACTACGATGATGCTTATGTTGCGCAATGGCAAAGGAATGATTCCCACGCCACAAGTATCTGCAGTGGGCATGAAAAGTAAATTACGAAGAACGCTTACAGATCAGAGGAAGTGTTTGGAGAAGTTCCATCATCCTTATCTCAAACGGATTTCTGGAATGAATTAACATGTTTCACACTCCTGCTTATAAAGCAATAAAGACTCCCCTTATAGACAGTAACCAGAAAGAAATTGGATTCACCCAGTTATTATAATTTAACACAAACGATACCCTTTTGGCTTTGCTGTAAATTGTAAGCATGTCAAATGATATCTTAATGGAGATAGATGTGAATTAAAATAATAGAATGTGGGGAATCACAACGCTAAAATTTCGTAAAAACAATACCTTTCTAGAATGAGCAGAGGGTCAACAATAAGCTCCATTTTACCATCAATCCAGATACTATACTGTGCTTGAGGGAACAATCGGTGAGTTATTATCTTCGGAACCTTTCCATTTCTTCGTGGCTCATCATAGGGTGGATGCTTTAGTAGAACGAGGCGCCAGATACCAACCCATTTTCCTCCATCGTTATCCACCTCAATGGTAACATTTTCTCTAATAAATTGCATAGAAATCTCATCCACCACCATAAGGAAGCAGAATAGATCTTTAGAGCGAACACTTATATTTGAAGGCTGTTGAGGAACATCATATCCATCAAAAATTCCTGAGGCAACCACAAACCTACACTTCTTGACATACTTGATATCAGCAGGAACCATTTCAGCCCCACCATTTCGCATAAAACCACAATGCACCTGATTTAGAAACACAAGTAGTGACAAACTAATCTTACAATCAATAAAGGAAACTCCAGGAAAAACAATGAAGCTAACAGAATGAGGATACAAACACAATAGACATTTTCTCCCACCTTCATGGTTGGTTTTAGTTTAAAGCTTTCCTCTCTTTGAGTCCAGTTCTGGTGTCCTCCAAACAGCGGGGATGTTTGAGATCCATTTAACGAGTACTCATCTTCGGTGATGTAGACAAGTTTTTTGACAATTTCATCTGGAGTTCTTCCTTTCGGAATGACTACTCTATCAGCTTCATCCACTAAGGGAATCGAACAACCTAAGTATATATATCAATACAAATATCAGTACCTAAACACTTAAGTTTTCTCCACTTTATTTTGATATGACAACGAAAACCCAAGTTCTAAACAGACACGAAAAACCGATTGCATAATCTTACGGTGTTGTGCCTTCGCCATGAATCCCATTGAGTCCAAGATTGTGAAAACTTTACTATCTTTATTACACATAGCTGTATTTCAAGAAACAAAAAATCATATTAAGCATCAAATCACAAAATATTTGATCTTGAAACAAGACTCAAACTACCAAGGACATAAATAGTTATCTATCAAAATACCGGAGAAAAAAGTGATGGAAGAATGGCAAGACCAAACATGAAAGAGGGAGGCAGTGAGAATCAGCAACATCCATAAAATTCCACCCACAAGAAATAATCGAATAAACCCCTTCTTCCAAAAAATCTTCATTGGGTAATCCGCAGGCAACTTTCCAGGAGAAATTAAACCTCCTTCAACATCTGCAATCACCACAACCAAACATCTTCATTTTTCTTGAACAATATCCAAGAGAGAATATCCAAAATCCAAGAAACAAATATCTTAATCTTCAACAGAACTCAGATAACATAACCAACGGATGGAATTGCACAAAAATGCAGCAGAATGAGACCAAACATTTTAAAATTACCTTTATGGTGCAGATTTTGAATATTACGATCTCCTCTACGGTTCACCCGCGAAGAAAACGATCTCTGGAATTCGCTTTCCATAATTACAATCTCAACTTCTCATTTATATGACAATAAGACAAGCAAGAAAAAAAAAAAAAATCCACATTTAAATTTGGCGTCCTCAGAATGAAGATCTCTCCGCTAGTCCAACCTTCCGTTTCAATCTCTTATACGCAAACTGTTACCAGACGATTCTGAAAATTAAAAACACAACAATGGAAGAGAACTCAGATCTGCGGAACACGTGGAATCAACAGAAAGTGATACAGAGCTGAAATTCGAGCGGCAAGTGTCGGCATCTCAAATCTGAAGCACGGAAATGAAGTATGAATTTGAAGAAAACAATACTCACTACTCCGAGATGGAATTTCGAGGGCTCTATCAGGAATCAATTGCCAGTAGTGAAGATTTGTTTCGCCTTTCCTTGGCCTGCCTCTTCACTATATGAACATTTGCCCGGATTTTGATGAACAATTGCTCGTAAAATGGATGAAGATACTTCGGGATCTGATGACTCGAATTAAAATTACAAGCTTCGTCTATCTTTAAAAAAAAAAAAAGAATATATATATATGTTTGAATTAAAATTAGAAGTTCTTACAATTTAATAAATAAATAATCTATACATCTCTACCAAAACTAATTTATGAGTTTTTTAATTATCAAATCATTTAGTTTAATAAGAAAAAAAACTATAAACAAATTTCTAACTTTCTTCAAATAAAAAAAAAAATTAAATCTGTGATTTATTCTAAAATTAGAACTAATAACTTCTTTTATTTGAGTTTTTTCATTATTAAATTTGTTGTATAATTTTTTACTATAATTTTTTACCAATATATGCTCCTGCCATTTCTCAGTTGTGCCTATTTTAACAAGCTAATTTCTCGACCGAAAAAAAAAAAAGAATTATTGTGACGTATTTTTTTTTCTATAAATATATGGATAATTCGCTTTAAATTAAATTATTCTTTTAGGGATTTATTGGATTTTTAATTTGTTATATATCTTATATTTAAAGTTTATTGTTTTAAATCTGAATATATTAAGAATCTAATATGGAAAAGTAGAATTGTCAATGACACTCTTATCAAATCGACCAGAAAATAGATTGAAAAATAAATTTCTAGTAATTTTTTTTTTCAGGTTAAAAATTATTATTATTAAAAAAGATATGTTTGTTGGATGGAGAAGGAACACTCGGTGGAAAAACCTTTTTACCTTTTTCTAGAAATGCATTTTAAAGTCTTGAAGGGAAGCCCGAAAAAAAAAGCCGGTTGGGCAAAGAACAAAACCCCCTTTACACCGGTGTAGAAAACTTTTCCTAGAAGATGCATTTTGAAGCCTTGAAGGGAAGCCCAACAAAAAAAGCCGGTTGGGCAAAGAACGAAACCCCCTTTGCACCGGTGTAGAAAACTTTTCCTAGAAGCATTTTAAAACCTTGAAGGAAAGTCTGAAAGGAAAAGCCAGTTGGGTAGAGAACGAAACCCCCTTAATACCCGTATAGAAACCTTTTCCTAAAATATGCATTTTAAAGTCTGGAAGAAAAGCCAAAAAAAAAAAAAATCAAAAGGGTATATCAGATTTTAACCTCACTCCTATTCACTTCAAAAATATTAATAATCTTAGTGGTAGAAAATTGCAGTATAAAAATAGCAAAAGAAATGGTCCATGATACCCTTTTAAAGAGAAGAATGACCCGCAGAATCTTGGTCTTCAAACTTCTATGTCCAAATTGAGTTCCTATTTGAAATATCCTTTCAAAAGATTAAAAGTTGCAATATTACATTTAATCTTTCATTAATGTTACAAAACTACTTTTAAAGTTAAAAAAAATTAAAAAAAATTTAAAATCTACCCGTCTAAAACATCATTCTTACCAACATAATTCAAACAAACAATTGTCTTATTCACTACAATGTCGCTCCACGTCGATTTTTCATCCAATATTCTAAAGGATTTCTACTCTAACAATAGTTTTGAAATGTTTACTAAAGATGGCAATTTTTTTTTTTTTTTTTGAAAGAATAAAGGTGCTTTTGAAACAAACAACAAAGCTGAGGAGTATTTTTTATACTTTAGCCTAACAAATAATGGTTCTTGTACAGATGAGTCCAGAATGTACATACTCCATGAGCACAGGCATTTACCTCATTGATTCGGGAATATATCGTTGCTTCCATCTTCCTCCATGTCCAGATATTTGAAGTTCACATCGCCCCACCCATTACTCCCATAGTTAAAACTCGGGTTAACGTAGCATTTCATTTCATGAAACAGGTTTAAGTTGTCCACAAGCTTGTGGTATGCACTGCATCCACAACACTGCAAGAACAAAACAAAAGATTAAGATGATCAGTTTTGTGTCAGTCTGTAATAAAATTGTTTACCCGCAAATTCAAATCAGATTTGTCTACTCAAGCTTGCTTTAGGCAACACACTTTATTGGACCTAACAACTGAGATAGAATAGCTGCAAGAATATCAGCCAATTACATGCAGAAGCCTCAGTAGGTTGCTATCTAAATTCAAAGATTATGTGTGAGATCCCACGTTAGTTGGAGAGGGGAACGAAACATTCTTTATAAGAATGTAGAAACCTCTCACTAGTAGACGCGTTTTAGAAACTTGGAAGGAAAAACCCGAAAGAAATAATATTTGTTCGTAGTGGGCTTGGGCCATTACAGATGATATCAGAGCCAGACATCGGGCAATGTGCCAACGAGGAGGCTGAGCCCCAAAGGGGTGGACACGAGGCAGTATGTAAGTAAGGACGTTGAGCCCCAAAGGGAGTGGATTGTGAGATCCCACATTGGTTGGAGAAAGGAACAAATCATTCTTTATAACAGTATAGAAATCTCTCCCTAGCAAACGCGTTTTAAAAACCCGGAAGGGAAAGTCCAAAGATGACAATATCTGCCCGCAGTGGGCTTGTGTCCGGTTCAAATTTTAATTTCTTTGACATCAATCTTCCCCCAATATTGCTGAAACCATTTCAGTAGAAAACCGAACAGAAAAATGGTAACTGTATTCTAAGTGTTGTGAGATCTTACCTGCACAAACACAGTGCCATCGGTATAAGCATGGGGGTTAATAGCCCGTGTTGTACGTTGCCCACAAATTTTACAAGTAAAAGCCACAAGCATTCTTCGCCGAGGAGATTTCGTGAAAAGGGACCAAGGGAAAGTGGAGACATTCTCTGTGCCTGATTTGGCTTCCAACCCGACCGGAGATGAGGGGCCTTCCATACCAGACCCTGTCGTCCACCCTCTTCCCGTGGCTGCACTAAGCACCACTCCCATTGCAACATCCTAATGCAAAAGGGAAAATAATCTGGAAAACTTTACTGGAAGCTTCAATAGGATCGAATGGCAAACAAAAAGACCATATATCTAATTTAGTTTTCAATAATGTAAATTATGAATGCATTCTTCTTTTTCAATAGAGAAGTAAGCTTCATTAATGTTGAAACGCTACTTGGGCTACCGATTTTTGATAATCCTCCCGACACTGTTATATGAATAGGATTCAAGCCAAACAATTGCACCAAAATAAAGGTTCATGAACTCTCTTATTCCATAAATTATTTTTCTTCTTACAGAAATTTAATTAAGAAAGACTATCTAGTTTTTTTTTTTTTTTTCTTTTTTTCTTTTTTGGACGAAGAATAAGTCCGAAACCACGAGATCAAAAGAAATAGCTGTATGTATTATACAATATACTTCATCTCGTCGAAAACTCTAAATAGCATGAATCTACTCATCTCACATTTGCAGAAACCGAAGAAAAAGAGCATTCAATTAAAAATGATATTAACCAAAATACAGAGAGGATACCTTTGAAAGAGGGGAAAGGGAGAGATGACGTTTACTGAGGATTGGAAGGTTCCTGATATTCTTCGAGTCAGACTGAGAATCAGATTCGTTCTCGTTACCTAAAACACATTCGAAGGCTTAGACAGGCAACTCAAAATAAGAACAACACAATAAATAGCGTTGAAGACCAATCAAAATCAACAATAAGCAGGATCGTTCCACAAGCACATGCAGCCGCTTCAACAACACACCACTTACAATTCTTCAACATCATTAATCAAGAAAAGACGCAAACAGATCGAATAAACAAAAACTCGAAAACAATTCGGAGATAAATACAATTGGAGGCGTGCGGAACTTGAAAAGATCTCAGAGGAAGCATCCTGTTGGGAGAAGATATAGGAAAAGTGGAAGAAGAAGAGACAATCGCTGCAGAAGAAGCGTTGATTAGAGACTCCATAGGCAGGGAATCGAAAGCTGGAGCGGAGAGAAGCGAATTGCAGAGGAGAAGCCTCCGTAGGACAGCTTGAGAATCAAAATATCGCGGGTAAGCGCGCAGAGCTGTTAAGGACACGAAGGATTAATAGCCAATGTGGGCTCAAATTTCCGGCTTTCGGCCCATTACGGTTCTAAAGTGTTCACTTGTATACTTCATAGTATTGTCTCTCATCTATAAATAAACGATGATAGCTTCCTTATCGGATTGTTCTCATCGGTTGCATCATGACATTCTTCTATATTAACCCATATGTAGCCCGATGAACACCTCTTGAGGGTCGTCGCTTTATTTGTCTCAACATGAAGGTCACAACCTACTCTCTTTATAATATGGTTGTGACATTCTTTCTCACTTAAACTAGTCATCGTTATTGATGGTTTTCTCAGGGACAGAAAATGAACCATTAAACAATAGATATTGCACTAAAGTTTGTTCGGTTAGTTGTTCAATTGTTTTCATTGAATTTCATTATATTTTTTAGAATCAATATGATCAAATAAATTAAGAAACTATGATTGAGAAATTTCTACTAGATACGAGAAAAATAAAAAACTATGATTCAACCATGCTTCTAAAAGTTTAGAATGGACATCCATGATACAACAATCACGTTGAATCTTTCTTCAAATTCTTCACAAACACCTACATTGTAGAGACGATTTTAGAGGCCGTTGTTAAAACAATATGATCGATAAATTTCTCCATACTTCTACTGGTTTAGAACCGTCGTCCACGAATCAATGAGCGATTCTCCATAAATAAGCATCGCAGAACTTCTTTTAAACAAGATTTCAGTGTTGAAAATGATTCGAAAGATGCATCTAATGAACAAGTAATTATAAGTTATGAACTGATGATTACTCACCCAAGCAAATGGAAGCCAATCAAAAAGAATCCACCCGACTATATCCAGTTTCCTTTTGAATATTATTCTTCTCCATCCTCGTTCTCACTTCAGCAGCATCATTCCATCGTCCCACATCGGCATACATGTTATATAGCAACACGTAAGGAGCTGCGCTTTCTGGTTCGAGTTTCATCAAGGCTTCAGCCGCGACACGAGCCATTTCAACATTGTTGTGCACCCTACAAGCACCAAGTAAAGCACCCCACACCGCTTTATCTGGTTTACAAGGCATGTTATTGATCAAACTCATTGCTTCTTCAAGCTGCCCATGTCGACCGATGATATCGACAAGGACAGCATAGTGTTCAACTCGTGGTTCGATACCGTGAGTGTTAACCATGGAGTTAAATTCCCTCCTGCCTTCTTCAATCAATCCAGCATGAGCACAAGCATTCAGAACAGAAATGAATGTGATATAAGAAGGCTGCACATTACATTGGTTCATCAAGTCAAAAAGTTGAAGAGCCTCTGTTGCAAAGCCATGAGAGGCATACGCGCAGATCATCGCGTTCCAAGATATGACATCTCTCTGAAGATTCATTTCGTCGAAAACGGTTCGTGCCTCGACGATTGCTCCACATCTCGAGTACATGGTAACAAGGGAGTTGTTTATGGGCAAATCTGCAATAAATGCTTTTGTAATCAACTGATGAATCTGAGTTCCTAAAGCCAGATCAACCAAACCAGCACAAGCACTGATAATTGATGATAAAGTATGTCTATCTGGTTTCTTACCCTCAAATTGCATATGCAAAAAGATGTTGATGGCTCCTTTATAGTCTTCATTTTTCTCATACCCAGATATCATGGAATTCCATGAGACAAGGCTTTTCTCTGGCATCCTAATGAACAAATCATGAGCTAGTTTCAAGTTACCTATCTCAGCAAACCCAGAAATCATCATATTCCAAGAAAGGGTATCGGGATTCGACATTCTACCGAACAGATTCGAGGCCTCTTTCATATCCAAGATTTGAATGTAGCCACTGATCATAGTGTTCCATGAAAAAGTATCTCGCTCGACCATTTTGTCGAAGAGTTCTCGAGCAGAGACTATGTCACCAGCTCTCACATAGCTCATAATCATAGAGTTCCATGATACCACATTCTTCCCAAAGCTTCCATTTTCGTCTTCCTGTCGATTAGGGATGCAATCGAACAGTTTTCGAGCTTCTTGAATCATTCCTTTCTGACCATATCCAGCAATTAAAGTGTTATAAGCATGAACTAAATTCCCTCTACCATCACTCCCACCATATTGAAGCAAAATCCTTTCAGCTTCAACTAGTTTCTCATTCTGAATCAGACCAGAAACCAATGCACTAAGAGAAGCGGAGTCTCGTTCGGGCATCATCTTGAAGAACTCAATAGCTTTCTCCACATAACCATTCATTAAATAACCAGAAACCATGGCATTCCATGAGACAACATTACGCTCAGGCATGTACTTGAAAAGTTCTTCGGCTTCTTCCATCATCCCATTCTTAGCATACCCACTAACCATTGTGTTCCATGAAACACAATCTCGTTGTGGCATTTTATCAAATAGGTTTCGTCCACTCTCAATGTACCTTCCACCACAAGATATATAACCTGATAACATCAAGTTCCATGACACAATGTCTCTGTGAGGCATTTCATCGAACAACTGTCGTGCTTTTGTCATCTCCCTTCTTTTTACATACCCAGTGATCATCGTATTCCAAGTGACCGTATTCCGATGCTTAATGCTATCAAACAATTCTCTCGCTTCAATTATTTGACCTGTTCGAATCAAATAAGACATCTTCTTGTTCAGGGAATAGAATTCCGGAGCTTGAAAAGAAGAGAAACTGCTCTGTTTCAACTGAAAAGAAATGCTGAATGTAGTTGGACGACGGCGAACATACTGCTGAGCATTGAAGATTGTTAAAGCAGCTGTGTGAAAAGTCTTGGTTGACCAAATTCTCCGGCGAATCATCACCAAATTGGGCATGGAATGAACCAGTTGATTGTTTACTTGGCATTTGGAGAAGAAAGGAAATCTAGATTTGTTCTGTTTCTGCCTGAGGTTCGATTAAACAAAAGGAAGGTGTCTGAAATTCTCTGATGATGCATTCAGCTAAGAAACGCCGACGAGATTCACTCGCGCCACTGTCCTAATCCATGAGCTTCTTCTTCTTCTTCTTCTTCTTCTTCTTCTTCTTCTTCTATCGATTCAAGTTTCAAACAAATTGATTGATTGTAGGTTATATTTTAATTTTAAAATTATTTTCAGTTCAATCTTTTTTTTATTTTTATTATTTATTTATAATTTCAACCATTCTACTTTATTTAAATTTTTGGTTGAATTAAAATTTTAATTTCTTAACTTTGAAATAATTTTTAAGAACTTTTTAAATAAAAAAAATTAGTTTTGCATTTGATAAACCTATAAATTTGAAAATTGATTAATAATTTATTAGATTTTTTATTTTATATTAAGAAAAAAATGATTGTGCTAACAAATAAATTTTAAAATTCTATGAGCCCAATTTAGAGAAAAAGAAAAAATTCTCTCTCTTGGGACATTTTATTTAGTTTTCTATTATTTTCCTTTTTACATGGAATTCTCTCTTAGAACAAATCGATCCTGCAATGATAATTTTGATCTTATTAAACGAGTAAACTTATGTTCTAAATTCACAAACTTATCACTATCCTACAAAATAAAATATTTTAAACTTTCTAAATGATCGTTGAATTACTCTTAAAATTGTTATTGGTCATCCCTGTATATACTTTAAAAATACATTCATTTTACATAGAAATTATTATTATTCAATAAATAATTTTAAAGATAAAACTAAAATTAGTTATCTAAAAGTACAAATAAAAGAAAAAAAAAGATCTAAAGAGCAATAACCAAAGTAATATTAAGAAAAAAACGGTAGAAAAAGAATACTTGAGTCCTATAAATTAGCGAGATCTTGCTTCATACTCTATTAGCTTTGAGAGTTTTCACCGAGTTTCCGAGTTTCCAACCCCAAATATTTTAGGACACTTCATTCAAATATTTTAAGAGCTTCTTCCCATGAATATTGTACACAAAATTATCAAGAACTATGGTAGTAGTCAGTTTGCTAGCACTCATTTAGGTTGATATACAAAAGGTGTAAACCTCTCCCATGATAACAAGCAAAATGGAAATTGAAATATAGAATCAAAATCAAGCACAATAAACTCAAAAGGCCATTCATGCAACTCATTACACAAAGACATCATATAATATCAGCCAAAATGTATAAAGTCAGTTGTAATGGACCTTTGAGCTTTGAATGAGAGATTTTACCCCAATCCTTTACAGAGTGCTTGCTTCATTGTTAGTCTCTAATACACCCATTGATCAGAAAGCCTGTAGAATAATCAGTGAAGATTAGATTGAGCCAAAATTAGCAGGTCCGGGTTTTTTTTTTTTTTTTTTTCTTTTATTCCGGGGTACCTCAACTATTCTAACGAGACAAGTGTCTGATCCTACCCGATTTGATTGGTAAGGTAATTTGTAAGATATTAGATCTAAAGGAGGTAGTCTTCGGAACTCAATCCCTTGAGCTTTTTATTAATTACGACTCTTATTGACTATTATGTAAAGCTGACTTTATCAGAAAAAAAAATTGTGAAACAAAGGATATTCTTTTAAGCTGTTTTTGCACACTTGCGTATGTTAGGAATCATGATTCTCCACAATGGTATGATATTATCCACTTTGAGCATAAGCTCTCATGATTTTGCTTTTGATTTCCCCAAAAATCTCATACCGATAGAAATGTATTCCTTACTTAATAACCCATGATTTTACCCTTAATTAGCTAATGTGAGACTCCCTCCCAACAATTCTCAACAATCTTCTTCTCGAATGAAGTACACTATAGAGCCCTCAAATAGCCTCTCCTTAATCGAGGGTCGACTCCCTTTTCTAGAGCCCTCGAACAAAGTACATCATTTGTTTGACACTTGAGTCACTTTTGACTACATCTTCAAGGCTAGCCTCCCCTGAGACCTATGAAGCTCTCAAATAGCCTCCCCTTAGAGATGTATTTCTTACTTATAAATCCATAATTTTCTTCTTAAACGTAGGACTCCCTCCCCACACTTTTCAACGAGGCCTAATCCTCAACCAGGCAGGTTTAGGAACTCAGGAAATTTTTGCAGGTACATTATTCTAGTAAAGGCAAAAATGTGCTTAAAAGCTGCAC